CACTTTCGTCCATATAAAAAATTGCACAATTATAGAATTCTGCAATTGTTTAGCAACTTCAAATTTATATTTAGCATACTAAAATTTAATATTATTATTTAATTAAATAAACTGCATACCAAAAATTAAAATTTAAAAGCTTGAAATTTTAACGCAACAAAGTTTGAAATTTGGATTTACATATGGGTGTTTCCAGCGGAAGTTACCGCGAAAAAAGAATAAAAGTTTAATATGGGCCGATTTGGAACTGGTGCAGCTACTAACAATCTAGGTGGGAGCATTGTTGTTGTTGTAGCGGATACAACAACCCCGCCCAAATCGGTTAGTCCCTCAATCGTTGTCGTCAAGCTCTACTAGCGGTAGCCCCAGGAAGCGTGCAGCCTCGACGGCGTGGGGCGTTGTTGTTGTTGTAGCAGCATACAAATTCCCCAAAGACTTTTTGGGGAGTGTTGCTGGAGTGACAGTCCTTGGCCAGATATAAGTCTGGGTCGTTCCGGTTACGTAGACCCGACTGTCGTGGGAACGTGGGGGCGTCGTCATTCGTGGTGTAGAATGCCGAACTGTCTATTTGATCAACCAATAGGTTTCCCCTATGATAATTTGTCAGGCTTAAATGCCAAAGATCATGGTGGGCGTTGAAGTCATCGGTTATCACGTCTGAGTAGCGCACCTATGTCAGGCTGATAATCTGCCGGGCAGCAGGTACGTTCTGTAAAAATCTGGTCAAACAGTTGTCTTTCACACAGTATCGTCGACAGGACCTTATAGGCAATATTAAGAAGGCTTATTCCGCGATAATTGGTGCAAAGGCTAGGATATTACTTGTTGTTGGGGATGGATAAAGTACGTAGATATATAAGTTTTCGGGCATGTTGTTTTTAAGCCGCCATGTTGCTGTCCTCACTTCGTCTTAGTAAGCTTCGTCCCTATATATTGGTTCATCAAACGCGCCACCTGTGTCGCCATTCAAAAGTGTTGATATCTAAGTCTTCCCTCCGTATCTCAAGTGTACTCTGGACCTGAAACCATTTGATTTCTGCCTTCTGTCCTGTGAATGCTGTTCTGGGCACACAACCCTCCGACGTGGACGAGACGGAGCTTCGTCTGCCTCGGGAGACTCGGACCATAATAACTCAACTTCGCTTCTACGGGGGCGGAAATAGGGGATTTTTTTTATTTATTTAAATAATATTATAGATTTAAAGACAAGCAACACGATTCCCTGTTCACAATTCGAAAAAAAAATTGAACACCTCAATTTAAAAAGAGTATTATTTTTTTGTTTGCATGTAGCTGTGCATCCTTCACACAATTTTATATCCCTCGAATAACAAGTGCGTTTTAGTGCAATTCAAGACCTTTAATTTGAGCCAAGTTAGAAGTCTCCAGGCCCCCTGAGAGCCAAGTTATAAGAATTTTAAACCAAACTTCGAAACCGCTGTAATAGTTTTTACTCCAAAATTAAAAAAAAAAAAAATTGCATGAAATTTCGAAGTTTAATTTCAGAATCGTTATAATTTGGCTCTCAAAAGGCCTGAAATCTACCTTGGCTCAAATTACAGGTCTTGAATAGCACTAAAACGCACTTGTTGTTCTCCGTTTTTCGAAGTTAGCCTCCGAAATCGATAAATGGGCCTTCGAAGTTCTAAATTGGACCTTTGGTATTTTTAATTATTCAGCCTCATTGCGTAAATCGTAAATTGGGATAAATTGCATGACTCAACAACATTGGCATTGTCTACTGCCGTGCTGAAATAAGTAAACGACGAAAATCTTCGAAAACTATACAGTGCTGCCAAGTTTTTCCGTTTTAATACACTAGTCGAGTGGAAATTTTAGACCATGACGTGAAATTTTCGATACGATTCGACACTCGAAAAACGACATGCATTCGACAGGACTCTCGCAATGAGGGTGATTGTATGTAAACAACTAAAAAAGTAAAAATATGTGCGTGGGACGCCTTTTGCTTATTTAAATCGTATAAAACTTTTTTTGTTCAAACTTATATTACAGATGCTATAAGGGGTCAAGGGTCAGATCTTCGAAAAATCAAAAAAATCACCCTCATTGCGAGAGTCGTGTCGAATGCAAGTCGTTTTTCGAGAGTCGAATCGTATCGAAAATTTCACGTCATTGCCTAAAATTTCCACTCGACTAGTGTATTAAAACGGAACAAACTTGGCAGCACTGTATAGTTTTCGACAAATTTCGTCGTTTACTTTTTTCAGCACGACAGTAAACAATGCCAATGTTGTCGAGTCGTACAATTTAGCCTAATTTACGACTTACGCAATGAGGCTGATTATATATATTTCAAAAATTTTGAACTGGTTTTTAAGTGCTATAAAGCACCTGTAATATAAGTTTGCACCAAAAAAGTTATATGCCGTTTAAATAAGAGCAAAAGGCGGACTACGTCTATACTTTTACTTTTTTAGTTATTTACATACAATACTTAAAAATAATTTTTTACCAAGGGTCTCTTTCGACCTCCAAGACCCATATCTCAATTTCGGAGGCTAACTCCGAAAATCGGAGAAATTACTTCTGTGTTCGTATGGAAAAGTAGCTTATGTCGAAAGGCTGGCTTTAGTATAAATCGGCATTCGCAGCATACGATTGCGAATGACTTACGGGCGCTAAGCCGTTAAACAACTTTAAGCAAATAAACGTGCATGAAATAGTTCCGATTCTAGCAAGTCAATATTCTTTTTAAGTCTCATCAAAAAATTCCTTGTCGTTTAAAAAATAAACGGAATGCCGCATTATACTAAAGCCGGCCTTTCGACATAAGCTACTTTTCCATACGAACACAGACTTTATTACTTATGACTCTATCTCTTAAAAAAAAATTTATTTGGTCCAATACCCAGAAAAAAAAAAGTTGATTTCGCCGTATACTGTAATAATAGAAAATGCCTATCAAACTTGGGCGTACAAAGTTTTTTATTTTTAATTACACTCGCACTGCCTGATGCACGTTCTTCATTGCAGAGGCGCCCGCGCACTTTGGCCGGAACAAGATAGTAAACCGAGTCGATGTCAAGAACGCTTGAAGCGTATCTTCCGTCTATAACAACATGATCGACTTGGTCCTTCGTTCTTTGACCAGAGGTTACCCGATAAAGGCTGAATTTTGAGACTGTTGGACCAATATTGCCTTCTTTACCACATAGCGATAAAATATACAATCACATTGACATTGTGAAGGAGGCAGCGCTCATATGCTCCCTATAAGCGTTCGCAGAACTGCTCTTTAGTCCTCCATCGGGGCGTGCGGCTTAGCTTGTTGAATTTAGCTTTGATGCGGATCATTCGTTTACCCCAACCACAAATCCGCCCTACTGTTTAACAGATGCTGCTGACTTCTTTGATCCCTCAAACTGAATAGTTCCCAGTGGCCACACCGCACCTCCCTCTCTTTCTGCCGTGGCCCAAGGCTCCACTCGGATTGGTTACGGTATCTCGCACATGGGTTGCTTACGTTGTCCACAGTGCGCGAACGAGGATGCAAGTGTCGGCATTAAGTATAACCGCGCAACTGTAACTGCATGCACAAAAGAACGTCTATACTTCACTGACGGACAATTTAAAAGATCACCCATTGAGTTTGATGCAAATAAATATTTAAACAAGTATTAGAGCGTATTTTCGAGCAAATAAATTTATTAAACTACATGACAACTTTTAATTTCCTTTTGCATTAAATGTAAGATATTTGCTTTTAAGTTTTTTTTTGTTTTTAACTAAATTAACATAACATCGTAGTAATAAAAGTATCGTATAAACATACATGCATATGTATTTATAATTTCCTTTAATAATTTTTGTATACACATACATACGTACATAGTATTCATATAAAGATGCTGCTTAGCATACATAGCAAACATTCTGCTTTAGCATGCAGCTTATACATATATTATATGGGTACTAAATATAGAAGTAAATATGTATATTATATATTTGTGGGAAAAATAAGCATCACAAAATGCGTTTTAAACATTCATATACTATACACATAAACTCTCAAGCAAGTATCACAATCATTCGTTACAATTTTGTAGCCTTTGTGAGTTAAATAAAAAAATCTAATTGACTACATACTTATGTGTACAATGAAGCGTATAAACATTTAAATAGATATTCAATGGTACTGTAATTAGTTACATTAAACTTGAAAATTTCCAAAAGCCTCACTGAGCACAGCAAACTAACAAGTAATTTTTAAGTAAACAAACAACCGAGTTCAATTCTGATATAAAAATTTAGGAGTACCGTTAACTTCTTCATAATCCAATGATCGGATCTAATCCAAATTAGTATGGGACCACCCTTGAGGCACCACATTTCCGATATAAAAAGAATTATCGAAATCGGTTGACGTGGTCCAGTTATGCGGTAGCATACATAAAAAAAAAGTATTCCGACGAATTGATAACCGAAAAAGAAAAATAATTAAAATGCAAGTGCCCTTGAAGAAAAACAGTTGTAAGGGAACATGGTAACTTTACTGTCCCAAGTAAACCGAAAATATATTGCTATGAGTTATTTGGTGGAGCAGCCAAACCAGCGTTCTTAAAGCGATTAATCCATATGGTAGAACGCTTATTGAAAATTTTGTAAATTTTATTAATGAAGAGACGTTTGAAGAAATGGAGGCTTTGAAAAAAAAAACTTGCCAGACGCTATGATAACTTCACTGATAACTTTTTAAACTTGCACTAAGTCAAATTTCGTATACGCTTCATATTTAACATTTGTAGTTCACATGCGTAGTCCTAAAATAAAATGTATAGGTGAATATCAATTGAAAAATGTAGAAATGGGAAAATATGTTTTTATATGGGATTATTATTTTTTAGATATTCATGCCTATTACGATATCCGACGGATGCCATCCGCACGGATCTAATCTGATTCTCACTGTAATAACAAGCGAGAGTGAAGTATTAGATTCGTGCGAATGGCATCCGTCGGATACCGTAATAGACATGATTCTTCTACCACTTTCTAATGCAGTCCAATGTACCAAATGGCCAAAAATAAAAATAAAATGCAAAACACACAGCGCATAGAAAAAATCGTGCTCCTCTTTTTCACGCATACATCTTAAATGCAACCGCCTCAAGTCGGGGACGCATTAAATCTTGCTGCATACGCATTAATTATTTTGCAACTTTATTACTGCTGCCGCTGGCTGCCTGACCAATGGTCGGATCGCACTGCTTCAGATCGGCACACTTATCACAGACACGCACTGGCACATCCCAGCCATGCTCGGGCACCGGCTGGCGTTGTTGCGAACAGTGCTCACACACTGCTTGACCGCAGCGTCGACAATGATGGCGTAGACAGTCGCCAATGGGTGAGGGAATATTAAAACCGCCATTCGTTATATTACCAGCGCTACTACCCGCGGCGACATTGCCATTGACAATATTTTCTTGTGTTTTTGGTGCGGGACTGCTAGTAGTGGTGCGGTTGCCACTGCTACTGGAAATGACACTATTAGCTTTTGCTATAGCCAACTCTTCAGCAGTGCCAAAGAGTGTCTCACAGATGTAACAAGTTGGCGCTTTGGCATCGGGCACCCAGTATGAGGGGCGGGCGGTATCCTTAATGATGCCTGGTAAAGGAGAGAGATGTACATACATATGTAAATTTATTGATGTTCAGTGGGAGATGTATATTCACACAAAATTTCTTATATATACCTTTGGTAAACTCATAAGCTCCCTTTGTTATGCTGCCCAATGGATTGATGATTACCTCACCTATTTTTCGCACACTTATGTCGGCTTGTTCAGTCGTTGGTGGGCCTGTGATATTATTATTTGGATTTGAATTTGAATTGGAATTGGTATGATTAAATGCTTCGGTTGTATTTGCTGTACAATAAGAAATTTATATAAACGTATATATAGTTTTTCTTTTGAAGGACAATAGTAATATTTTTTGAGGTGCATAAATGTGAACAAAATAGTGTAGAAATAAAAAAAAAAGTAAAAAGCAGAAGTAAAAAGTGCTAAGTGCAGAAATGAAATTTGGAAGCATTCGATAAGTGCACCGATTACAAAATTCACATTCCAAAATTTTTATACTCTGGGAATTTCTTATTTTTATAAATTTTTTTTCTTTTTTTAAATGCGTTCTATTATCTCTACTAATATTTTATTATTTTCGCAGCATTTCTTACCCGGCACCGCATTCGGTTTATTCTGCAATAGCGTATAACATGAATTACACACTCGCACAGGCTCTGACCAGCCGCGCGCTGGCACTGGCATTTGTTTTTGGCTACATGCATGGCAAAAACCTTCGCCACAGCTGCGGCAGTGATGCTTGTGTAAACCAGTATTTTCGAATACCTTCTGGCATGCATGGCAGCTCTGTAAAACGAAATATGGGAATGTATTTAGTTTGTAGTTTTTTTCTTGAGTTTTTTTATTTACAATAATTTCACTATTTGGCTTCCAATAGCCGGGCGCCACCCAGTCAGCTAGCCAACCGGTCACTGCATTGGGATGGAGTTTGGGTAGTGCTTCGCCGAGTGTTGATACCCTATCGAGTACCATTTGTGCGGAGTGTGATGGACCCTTTGGCTCCCAAACGTGTACAATTATTGATCTGTATGTGTGAGGAAATTGGACATATTGTACATAAATACAATTTTAATTTTTATCATTGGAAATAAATACCAAAATGAGAAGCCAATTTGATGTTATACTTATTATATTTACATATAGATCATTTACTTCAATAGTGTCATAATCCAAAGACTATTAATATTGAGTTAAGTACGCAGAAATTACCGCTACTTTTACTTCTATGTTGTGTAAAAATTTCATAGCTGTATCGATTAACAGTACCCCACTAAACCAAAATATGTATTCATTTTTACTATGGGAGTATATGTAAATTCAAAACTTTAAAGCAGTTTTCTCGAGTTCTGTTTTTTTGAGTTATGACACTATTGAAGTAAATAAGCGATATGTATATTTTTTTAAGTATGTATGCCTTTATAGGCATTTAATTCATCTTTTTGCTACAGTTTAGCATTATGCTTTTAAATTTCGCTTTACCTAACAGATGTCTCCTCCGGTGACTTATTACCAAACCAATATTGACGTGATCTGTATATTTCGCCACAGCTTGGACAATCGATGACGCCACCTTTCCATGCATACTTAGCCAATCCTGACCATGAGCTGTCGTTCTTTGTTTGTGTGCTAAATGTGACGACGTTCTGTGAAAAAAAAAATATATATTTTTAAATTCACCCGATCAAAGAAAATCGTGTGCCTCGAGCTGAAAGTATCGGACGAAGTAAAATGGTCGCATGGACAAAAGATTGTAGTATTTTACTTTCGGCAGGTTTCGGGAAATAGTGATTGATGTTTGGAATGCAATTTCTCAGTCTCGGAGAATGTTGCTAATTTACGAAGTTCTTAAATTATTCTATGTTTTGTTTATTTTTAATTACTTTCGCCTAGGACAATCATTTATCCAGTTATGTGTGATAAGCTCTTGGATACTCTTTGCAAATTGGATAAATGTAATTTTTTATGAAAAAACCAATTCTATTCAACTCACCTCTTTGCCATTTTTGTAGCATATTTTGCACAGGTACTTCTTATTGTCATACTGATTCTGATAGTTGCAAGGCTGTTGATTCATATGCGCCTCACCATCGCTCAAATGACCCATCGAACGCTGACAGCGCTGGTTGCACGCTTCACAACGCACCGGACATGTGAAAAATTGTTCCGGAAATGGATTTATTGATTTCTCCACTATTTCACCGGAGAATTTGGTATTGAGCGCATTCATTGCTTTGAACACAACACTGGGTTGACGGGGCGAACGTACGGTGGTATTAGCGATTTCCAATTTTATAGCAGACTTAAGTTTACTATAATCGGTGGCCACATGCTTTGGCGTTTGTATGCCTATATAGCGCACTGAACTGAAAGCGTTGATTTTCTGATTGTGACGTTCGAAACATTTGCGCAGTTGATCTTCGGCGCTTTCGGCAACAGCTGCAAAACAAAAACAAAACAAAAAATACATAAATAAATAAATGTACAAAATAATAATAAAAATGGAATGATAAAGAAATAGTCAATAAAAAATATTAAAGCGTCTTAATGGCTTAATATTTTCTTGTCAATTATTTTTTTCTTCCTTTTTGTACATGTATGTATGTATATAGGCATGTACTTACAACCATCAAGCGGGTTTGTGTGCTGTGTCTCATGGAAGATAATGACCGCGGGACCAAGCGTTTGCGCTGTGCCTGGCACTGGCAACGACTGCAGTGCTTGTGCGAAATGCAAGCAAAACGCCTCAGAAGCAGATCCCAAAAACTCAAACATATCGCTGTGTAGACGTTCGGAACGTGTGCGATATATAACAATGTCGGAAACGGCCAGAATCTATGTTGAAATGAAATAAAAAAAATATTATTAAAACAAGTTAGATCTTTATAACAAAATATGCAGTTTACCTTCAACAGCATGCGTATGCGTCGATTATGGTGTTTGGATGAGCCCAACAGTCCCTCGGTGTCCAGGCACAGCACATCCATGTCGCGTTGCAGTGCCGCATAGACACCTATCGTGCAAGAATTCTGCTCTGCCGATGTCATGAACACCTCGGCGCCGTCGAAGAAAGTATTATTCATTGTATGCGATTTGCCATCGCCTGTATTGCCGAATATGGAAATTACTTTGATCTTTGTGTCATCGCTGCATTTAAGTTTCTTGCGAAATAGCTCTGGTGTGGGTATACGTAAATTCTCCTCGGCGTCCATCAGTAGAAACGAATGATCTGTGGAGTAGTCGGGTAGCTCATATTTGGCGACAGGAATGCAGCAATCAATCGATTTGAAATCATTGCTAATCGGTACATTCGTATTGGAGGTGTCGTTCTGTAGAGTAGAGAATAAATGTATAGAAGAAATTAATTAAACTGTGTATGGCAATATGTAAAAATTTAGGGTGCTTAACGCAATGTTTTAATATAATATAAATTTTAAATGTTTTTTTTTGTGTTGTACTTTTATAGCCTTGTACGATTGCAATGAAATTTTAATGGATTTACATTTACTGGTTAAACGTAAAAGTAGTACTAATAACTCCATTTAGCTGATATATTTTGAAGATTTACCAGCACGGCAAAAACATACGTACATAAATATGTATGTACTAGTGAACCCGCAAGTCGTTAAAAGGTCCAACTGAATTTAAAATTATAAACAGGCATAATGTTTCATCTAAATCCGTCTGAGTGAAAAGAGCTCTCGGTATTTCATTTAATCAAATTTCAGATCTTCCGCACCGCTATAAAATGTCTTAACTTCTAAAAATAAATCCGGTAAATGTGTACCGGCCCAGTGCTTTAATTTGAGATCTCATTTTTGAAATTCGAAGTAATGGCGACCTTCGCAAAAAATGCTGTTGATATATTACACCTCGAGTAGATGGCAACCCTAATCAAAATTATTTTTAAACTAAAGTTTCCTTAAAACTCTAACGCTTGGTACTAAAATTTTAGCATTTAATTTAACTTGTGTATAAGTAACATAAATTAGAATTTTTAAACAGATGGCAACCCTCTTTAAAAGTATTTTCAAACTTAAATCTTTTTAAATCTTTTGTTTGGCATTGTGAACTATATTACAATTAACTGACGAATTAAGTTGAAATAGATTTTTTAAACACGTGGCAACTCTCCAAAATACAGTTCAGAAGTAAATCCCTTTCAAACCTATTTCGATCGATTAACAACTTTTAAGAATTCATTTACCTTATTAAATAATTTGAATCTAACTTTTTCAACAGGAGGAGGTAACCCTCTTCAAACACCTAAAGGAATAAAGGAATTGTTCAAACTAAAGATTTCTTAAGACTCCATATTTTTAAATTTCATATAACGTGTGTACCGGTTTAGATGCCAGCATTGTTTTGTAGTCGCCTCTCGGCAAACAATACCTATGTTTTCGTACTTGCCAGTAATAAAATGACCAGTAACTTTCCAGTAACCAAATTTCCGAAAAAAATTGTGTTTTCGGAATCTCCAAACTAACCAGTAACTTGCCAAAAACTAAGAAACATGCAAGAAAGTATAAAAGCGCTAAACCAGCCAGAAGTTACAAGTTTTAGGAACAGCTGATTATTTTGTTTTCCGAAGCAATTTTCTAATAAATTAAATCATTTTATAGGATTGTTAAATTTTTTTATACACAACCGCATTTTAGCATTTTTTTAAATAATTTACATAGAAGTTCGTTTCTCAACCTACCTCATCCAACGACACAGAAAACCACATTTTTTCCATCACTTTTTTTTAATAATGCTCATGCTTATATAAGAAATTAATATTCCACGCAGTTCCATTCCACAACCACTCCAGTCTTACAATTGCAATTTTAGATGCAAATTTCCCTGTTTGATTGCGCTTATTTCACGCGCGCCCGCACCCTTATCTAGTATTGCATAAATATGCACCTGAAGTGGTGAAAAAAGGAAAACTATTAAAAGATATTACAAAAAAAAAAAAATTATAATAATTAAAAAAGTGCACAGCTGATAATTTTAAAAATAAATATAAATACGCAGCAGCGCTTTTGCCATTGTGCACAGCTAAACTGAAATTTCACCATTGACTTGAGCGCTTGAGACGCTGTGCTGCGCAAAAGGTTTCTGTTGTCGATTTGTGGTTGGCTGCTCGTAGAAGTGGCTTCGAATATTTGATACAAAGCCACATAAATAACAAAAGAACAGCTGAGTTGCGGTAAATAAAATCAAATAACTATGCAAGCAGCGAGAAATCAAGCAATGATACATACGAGAGTGATAACACGCCGAGAGGCGGTAAGCACTAGAGTTAAATGTAGGTTGTAGTAGACAGCATGGAAGCGTGAAATGGGAAACGAACTTGAAAGCGCGAATTGGCGAGCAAAATACAAGTGAAAAATTAGCAAGTCTTTTTCGCGATCTTTTTTTTGATATTAATTTTCTTTGGATAAGAATAGTGGGTTCAATAGCTCGCATATGAAGAAGACATCATGAAATGGCTAAGCTCACCTCAGAATTTTAGCTGCAGCAAATCACTTGTGTTACGAAGAGAAAAAGGTATTTCACTAAGTAGCATAGTTATGATACAGGCGTCCTACCATCCACCCAGAGAACGGCTGTTTTTTTATCGACAAACAGGAACAGACGAGAAGATAACGACGAACCATAGGCTAATTGCAGTGGCTTCGCTTATGGAGTTGATATAACAGTAGCGAGAAGGTCGGACGGCCTTAACAAACAGCGGCTTAAGCACATCGATTACCAAAATATCGATTCACGCCAATTACGGAAGCTGTTTTAAAACTACTCAGGCAGCATGTGTCATAGCACGAGGTGGTGTTTATGAAGCCCTGTGAGACACGGAAGTTACCAGTTTTAGTCCGAGAATTTTTTGCTGGTAAATTCTGGTAAATGTGTCAAACGATAAGCTGTAGTGTGTTTGGCAACCAAATTGTAAACAAAAGAAAAGTGCACTCTCCTAATTCATGTTGAAAAGTATATAATTACTTGTTTAAGTGGATTCTAATGAATTTGAAAGTGTTGTTGGTTATTTACATGTGTGAGCTGAGTGCGTTTACATACAAAATAAGCAAAAATTTACAACCAAAATTTGGAGGTTATATTGAAGTTGACAGAAGTTACCATTTTTTTACTAGAAAGCGATCCCGTACTTTTCAATGTTACTCTCTCGCTCTGAGTGAATTTTTATTTTTTGACAGTTTTACTAGTCCGAGTCCGAGGAATACGGGATTGCACCTTAAAATGGAAAGCATCAAAGATATAATAGCATATTGCATGGACGTGAATTTGAAATAACTCGGAATATGTTGTCCATTTTGGCAGGTATATTTCTCCTTACATAGCGAATATATATTCCGCTTTTGAAACAAATCAGACCATAAATGCGCCACCTATCGGGAAAGTTAAAACTGTGTGCACTCCTCCTACCAAACACCTTTCCAACAAAGCAACAACCAATCGAATCGGTTGAGAACCATAGGAGAAAATTGTTCCCAATTGATTCATGCTTGCCTATTTATATATAGATATTCATATGTATATCTAAGGTAAAGGTTGTGAGATCTCAAAATCTTTATAGCTGACTTTGACTAAGATACGGACTGGTGAACGTTTGAGGTTTTAAAAATCAGCCGTAAGGGTTCTTATCGGCTTAAAAGGCACTGTGCCCCTGTCAAAGTCTTAACGCAAAGTGACCGTAACCGATATTTTTTCAAAATTTTCTTTTTAATGCAGAAATGCTTTTTTATTTCGGCGGCCGTTTACGCTTTTTTGGCGGTTGATTAGGGATAGATATGCATGAGCCTGATGATACAAGCTCGGCCAAACACTAACATATTCAGGCTTATTGCGAGAGTCGTGTCGAATGCGAATCGTTTTTCGTGAGTCGAATCGTATCGAAAATTTCATGTCATTGCCTAAAATTTCGACTCGACTACATAGTGTTGTAAAACGGAAAAACTTGGCAGCACTGCATAGTTTTCGAGGATTTTCGTCGTTTACTGAGTCAGTTAGGGATTTATTAAGCACAAAGTTAAAATTCTTGATTTCGAGGGACTTCAATAGAAAGGGTAGACTATCCGATACGCCGCAATCGCTAAAGCACCTCCTTAAGCATATTTTTTTTGGGGATAATGAAGAAGTTGCGAGAACAACAATAACAAGAATATGTTTGTAAAGTAAAAGAAAAATAAGTAGTAGTACTGCTGGCGCATTGCATGACTATTAGCCGCCACTGTACGTTGCCGCATTGTTGGGGGATATGTGAAACTCATTGCCCTTTTCACCTGGAGAAATATTAAAAACAGAAAACGATTGAAACAGCTTCTAAGTGCATCGCGTTCGTTTGACTTTATATAAAATACTATATGTACAAAGATAAGATATGGTTTGATGTCTTTAGCAAATGTAAACGACTGTAATGAAGGCAATCACTTTGTTGTAAAGATAGTTATTTATTTGTAGGCATATTGAGCGCTTAAGAGAATAAATGTTAAGAAATGTGTCATCATATATGTACATACATATAGAGTGACTCAAACAAGTGTTCACGTGTTGATTTTTTTTGTAAATTTTTCTATAAAAATATTGACCAAGCTTTAAGTAAAACTAAATAAATCAAAGTTTCAAGCTAATCTTTATTTGTAATTTTTTCTATAAAAATATTGTCCAAGCTTTAAACAAAACCATATAAATCAAAGTTTTAAACTTTATAAAATTCAGAATAGTCATCAAAATTTCGAGTTTTTTAACCTGATTCTTTATAACATTTTTGGGTATGAAGTTTTTTATCCTGTACCATTTTATAGCGCTTTCTTTTTACTAATAATTCATGCAGAACAAGTTTTAAGGACATTTTTGAAATATTTGTCGCATATTTTCGCACCTTTTTCTTGAATAAGGTATCAAAATTAAAAATGAGGATAACGAAGTAAAGTCGTATTTTTGTCAGAGTTCTTCCTATTCAAAAATTGCTATTATAAAAATTATGAAGCTTGAAATTTTTATGAAAATTTGTTACATTTTCTTAAATTTTGTATAAAGTTTGAAACTTTGATTTATGTACAGTATTGGCCAATAAAACAGCACTCCCATTTCAAAGGGATATTGTTTGGCACTTATGTTTATTTATTTATTTTTAGGAATTTTAAATTAAAATACATTTCATTCTCTAACAAAATCCATATAAACCAAAGTTAAAAACTTTGTAATTCTACAAAAACATGCAACACATTTTCACCTAAATTTCAAACTTTTTTCTCAGAAGTGTTACAATTTTTTTAAGTACACAGGGCCTATGCTAATCAGACCTCTCTGAACTTGGCAGGACAACTTTTTCTCAAAGCAAAAATTCCTATCGCATAATTTGCCGTTAATTATCCGTAAATTATCCGTGAAAAGAATAATTTTGCCGCGGACATATTTTAAAAAATATCGAGTGCCCTGCTAACTTCCGTGGAAGTTAGCAGGGCACCTTCCGAAAACTAATTAAGGAAACCAGCTAAACCTAA